TTGGGATGTAAAAAGCTTAGGCTGTGGGAGACAAAAATGTGCAGTTATGGAAGAAGAAAATGGGTCCGAGGTCTGCGTTGGAGGGGAGAGCGTGTGCTGGGGGAGGGGAGGATGCAGGATTACAACAGTGTAATCTCCCACAACCAATCACACACTATTTCTGGGAAGTGAATGGACAGCACATCACTACAGTGCATAATAAAGTCAGAGGTTCTAAAAAAGTAATAAAACCAGTTACATACTGTTGTGCAAATTAAGACAAAATGTATCATCTTGCGTCAGCGGTGAGCCAAATATTTGCAGCATTTTTATTTTAACCAAAACCTTGTGTATGTGTCTTGGTATTGCCCATTTTTTAGCTACTGAACTCCTAGACAGTATGTACATCTGTCTGCATGCACATCGTGTTTTTCTAGTAAGAGATCGACAGGCGTGGGTAAGAAGAGAACATTTAGTGCCAAGAGACAGCACAAAGAGCTAAAAAAGCATCTGTGACTGTGCAGAGGCAAATTTATCCTCAGGAATATATGGGTTTTAGTTCTCAGGAAAACCCTAAAGTAACAGTAATATCTGTAACCATGGATTTTATTACTAGCTGAAAGTACTTCAGAGTCAAACCCCATGGTCCTGAGTCAGCCACAGCAACTCCTGTGAAATGCCTGAACCCAGACCCCAGGATCTGGCTTACGGATGAGCCACAGTATCATTCTGCAGGGTCTGGGCAAACATGGAATCCCAGAACAGTTTGGGTTGGGAGGGACCTTAAAGCCCCCCCAGTGCCACCCCCTGCCATGGGCAGGGACACCTTCCACCAGACCAGGTTGCTCCAAGCCTCATCCAGCCTGGCCTTGGACCCTTCCAGGGATGGGGCACCCGCAGCTTCTCTGGGCAACCTGTCCCAGTGCCTCCCCACCCTCTGCGGGAAGAATTCCTTCCTGGTGTCCCATTAATACACCCCAGGCTCTGTCCTTCGCAGGGGCCAGCACAGCACTTCAGTGCCAGCACGCTTCTCCAGGATGTGGTCCGAGGGCTGATAATGGTATCCGAATGCAGTAACGGAGCAATACTGCTAGAGATCAAAGGGTGAATTTCCAACCAATTTAGAGGGAAACACAATACTCCTTTTAAAGACTATCCAATGATGTCACTGTTAAGCTAGCACCATCCTGACTCTGGTGTGGAATACTCACTTTGAATGCTCTGGAGGAGACAAAAATTTACAAAGCAAATCATTCAGCCTTTAATACTGCAGAGGTTTATATTTGTTGTAGTTTTTGGCAGTAATGAGGGAAAATATTTTTTAGAAGTACCACTGATTTTCAGCTCAACACTTCCTTGACTGTGTTGATTTAAAGACAAAAAGGGCAATGTTTATGTCTGATTTTTAGAATTATAATAACACGCAGCAATTGTAAAATTAATTATTCCAAAATCAGATCTCAGATGGGCTGTCAGCAACAGGAAGAAGTACAAGTAGAGCCAGTTCTTATTTAAGCACAACTGCAGAGAGCAAGCTCAATAAACGTTCTTCTCATGCGATGCCATTCGCACGACCTCACCGAACACAAAGCCATCCCAGAACTAATGCGGGAAGATGAGCTGCCCATGGCACACTGTATTTCCGAGCACAACACGGCTTACTGTACTGCAGCAGCAGCCAAAGCTTGAGGCCCCAGCAAGGAAATAGTGAGAATCACTATGATGTAGGTTCTGAGCTTTGCATTTTAAAAAAAATCTCCGTTCTACGGTTTCAATTTTACAAAAACAATTGGTGACAAAGAAGAAACTGTACTTGACCATGCTTTAGTGACTATCCCAGTGAAGCACATGTCTAGCTGTCTTTGAATCTGCTTCATTCACCAAGGCAGCTCTCTGAAATTACTGCAAAAGGTTTAGTATTTAAAACCTGCCTTGTAGGAAAAATCATTATTCTTCCTGCCTGTAACTCCAATGAGAAAATTCCACCACCGGATGGATGGCTGTCCGCAGAAGAGAGACGGTGGTGTTAGCCTGGTATTCTGAGAAGCAAATATCAGCAACAGCAGAAAACAGACTTGACTTTGCAGGAGCTGCACCATTTGCCAGCACAACACCATCAGCTCTGCAACTCCAGCCAGGAAGTTTTGGGGTCTCGCAGGCAGCCTGACAGCAACGCGGCCGCAGGGCAGCACTGCAGGTGTGTAGGAGGAAGGCAGGAAAAGTAAGAATTCACTCTGTCCTTTAAACGAATGTGCCTCAGCTACTGCTGCTTCTCCAGTGGTGTCTGATGTTTCTTCCCTGCTTGGAAATTCCCTCATACACCAGCACAACCCAGTGCCCAAGTGCTGCAATAACGTGCTGAGCGGGGAAGTCAGCCCACTTTTTAGATTTTTAGATAAAGCTGCAAATCCTTCTGACAGCCAAAGCCCCAAGTCCCGGTGTTAGAAAAGAGGCTGCTGAGCCTCCTGAATGGCACAGACACGCTGCTTACTTCTGCTTCTTATTTTGTGAAGTATGTGGCAAATGCAGAACTGGCAAGTTCTTTACCAGATGGCAAAGATACTAAAGTAAGTTGTACAGGATGCACAAGAAACTGAAGCATCACAGTCCAATCTGAGTTCTGATGAGCCATAAATGTGGTAAATTTGTAACCTAAACTAGTGGTTGGCTCTTTGGTCTCAGTCTCATCCTGCTGCCATTCTGCAGAAGGAAATGGCGTGGGAATAATCCTCTTATCTCACAGACTGATTCAGAGAAAAAGGCCAGAGAGGATGATACCTAAAACCAAAGGCACCTCCTGGCATCTGTAAAAAATAAAATAGTCACAAAGCTCACTTAAAGCTTGTGACTACTTCAACCTTTGCAGCAGTGCTGTATTCAAGCTCACAGAACAAGCAGGCACAGGAAGGCGAGTGTTTGGGTGGATATTGTACAAAACAGGAGGCACTATGAGAGACAGCTTTTGTAGCTAGGATTTTCCATGTTGTGACCCAACATCATTTAGTGCTTCACCCCTGGAGAGCCCACATGGGGGAGCAGCTGCAGTCAAGGCATCCAATGTGTTATCAGAGCTTCCCTGCCTTGTGCTAAGAGTTAACCCTGAGGGCATGGTCAAATTCTACCAGAAAGAGGTGTAGAAGTAAGCTTTAAAACACAAAAAAAACCACCTTTGACTTTGAATGGGACTCTTACACCTAACTCATTCAGTTACTTCTAGAAAATCCTATTCCCCCTTTTCCACTCCCGCTGGCGTTGTGCTGCGATGCAGCGTTCTGCTGGTGCTTTCCTAAACTGCTGCCCTGCACAGACTGAACCAGCCCATTTCCCTTCAAACAGAATGACTGTTTCACATTCAAACAGAATGACTGTTTCACATTCCCAGAAATGAAGGATGCTCACCACTTACTCAAGAAATAGTTTGCTTCCACTTTTAAGACATTCTCTTCCATTTGCACACTACTGGCTCCCGACAGTAGAGTTCACTCCATGCTTCAATAACTCCCTGTCTGAAAATAATTCAGATACCTTGCCCGCTACATAAATTAGCATCCTGCTACATAAGCTGAGCTAGGGGAGGACCACAGACTGACAATCTGACCTGGCAACTTCAGCTCTACAGAAGAAAGCACGACAAGCCAAGCTACAGTCCCCATGACAAAGCCACTAAGCATCAGCAGCCCCATGTCTGCAACGACAGCGATACCGTGCTGGGCGCTGCTGACAGACGGGATGGGAGCGCTGTTTGTAGAGAGGGGGCACTGCAAGTCAATAGAACAGCTGACAATCTGCTTTCCACCCAACTTACTATGCTTCGGGCAGGGTAGAAACTTGCCTTGTAGCACTGCACTCTCCAGGTGCTCTCGCTTTGCATTTCTTTTTGTGGCACAACCGAATAATTAGCAAGAGCCTCCTTCCCGGAGCATGAACTCCTTGGGAATCCTTCCAGCAGGGAAGAAAAACACAGTCAGTGGCTACACAACATAAACTACTCCTCCGTGGTGAAGGAGTCGTCATTTAGAATCAACTAAATGTTTGTTCTTTCTGCTTTAAAAATCAGCTGACTGATCACAGCTACCCGGTAAGTCGCAATAATCACAGCTACCCAATAACAAACCAAGTCGGTTTCTTTGGCTCTATCTACTTACAAGGGGCTTCACTCACGCTCTGGAGAGAGAAGCAAGAGGATTATGCGCTTCGCGCCCTGTGAACAGGCATTCGCACCACTGCCAAAGAGGAAAAATGCCCTCTGAGTCTTCTCATAAGTGAAAAGTCTGTTCTTTCTGTGCAGGACTCCCCAAAAGAAGAAGAATGAATTGTATGTTCAGCTTTACTAGAAACTGCAGGGGAGGGGGAAAGGCTGGTTGACACAATGTTTAGGCAACTAAACCCCACATCTCGGCCATCCTAGTGGGCATAACCGTCAATGGACAACCAGCAGCACACGAGAAGATGAACATCTTAGTTCGCTAAAGCCAATCAGCACAACCCTGAGGGGACGATCTATGTCCACGGGGGTTCACAGATTCACCTAAAACATCTTCAGAGCAACATTCTTTGTAGGTTATTTACCTCCTACCTCCCTGCAGTACAGCCACCACTTCGCCGCTTAGCAACAAATGCCTTTGGGTTTAAGGAAGTTCACAAAGTTAAGCTGAAAACAAACCAAGGTTGGGTTGGGGATTTTTTGGCCGTTCTTGTCCTGTGTTCAAAACCTGTTTACAACTTCTTCCTCAGAAAACATGTTATGAACTCTACTTTGTGCTTGCACCACGTGAAACCATGCTAAAGCCCCAGTACTGACAAGAAGCTGTTTGGGAAACACTTTGTAAACACAGACCCACTTAAGGAAATGCTCGTCCACGTGGGCGCTAACGAGGAAAAGATGTCTGGACGAGTATTTAAAACTGGCAGAAAGTCCTTCAAACATGTTGATCACACCCAGACAGATCACACCGTGTACGCGGGGTCCGTTTTTCAGCACGGCCATGACTTTGTACTTCAGTGGAGAGGCACGTTTCTACTTACTTGGTTAGCTTATGGCCCTTCATGGCCGCAAGGAAATCTCTCACAGTCTCAGGACTCTGGTATCTACAGGGTGTTTTTGAGATGTACTTCAGTGTCTGCAACGGACAGAAAGGAAGTAAACATTATTACACAGCGACTGTTTGCTTTACCAGCTGTGTATGAAACAAGCTGATGTTGAAAAGTTTCCTCAGTACTACTCACAAAAATTGGAAAATTCAAGTTTCTGAGTTTGCCTTTTTAGTCTTTTTTTTACAGGGTGGGAAGTGCTGTCACAGATGACATCACTCACACTGTCTTCAGTAAAACTGCATTGTTATGTGCTGAGGGAGTAAGAAACAAGCAATACAGAGCTACAACTTTCTGCAATGGAAATTACACCAGTACTTCTTGGAAAAGCCCCACCAGGACCCAGCCAGGTGAGAATTCCAGCTCCGACTATTCCCTCTGTGGCTCTGGACACCCACTTAGCTGACTGGTTAAAAGCCCAAAGTTGCATGCTGAAGAGTACGGGAAAGGAGCAAGTTTTAGCTTTGTCCACTAAAACCCACCTGCTGTTGGTGAGAGAGGCCTGCTCTCGTGGTTCGAAATCACGTCAGGAAACGCTGATTCTGTGATCGAGATGCACTTAGAGCTCTGCAGAACACTATCACTCACATTTGCTTTTCCTTTTAAAACCAGCAGGTATTTACAGATTCAAAGCTCACTTAAAGAGGTATCAAGATACGGGGTTTGAGTGGGGTTTTTTGTGTGTGTGGTGATTTCTGTTGTTGTTTTGGGGTTTTGTTGTTTAAAAGCAGTAATGTCTAGAAAAGTTGAATAGTGCCCATCCTTAAAACCTTCTGCCAAGTCACCATGTGCTCAGTGCCAGGGGTATCTCACTGCCAACCCCTAAATAACTCCTTAGACTCTCCACTCTACGGTTGTTTTCATCCTTTAGATGCAGACTTGGCAACGCACCAGCAGACACAAGCCCGCACAGAGCTCAGCACCAACAAAGACAACCCCCTGAGACCAAATGCTGCTTTTCTTCGACTTAGAGAAAATACAGGTAGAGTTTAGACCAGCTTCACACCAGGTACAAAACCAAGCACCCCACTGGAATTTAATGTGTCACAAATACAAGGCAATGAAAGCTTTAAGGTGCATTCTGACAACACATCCTTCAGGATCTTTCACAGCTGTTTCAGAGAGGAACAGGAAGCGTCTCCACGAGGATTTAAATTGCATTTTTTGTAAGTCCCTATTTTGTTGAATGCGAGCCTTTGGAATTACAACTCTGTGCCTTTTCAAACAAAGCCAAAACACAAACAAAGCCCAGGCCAAACCTTTTTCACATGAGTAGTTCCACCGCTCAACGGGATTACTCATGCGAGCAAGGCAGACCGCTTCCAACTCGCTGCCAACCACGCTGCTGCTCACGCCGTTCCGAGAGAGGCAGCAGGCCATGCCGCAGGTCTGCGACCAAGCTGCTAATGCCAGATACTTCACGTGTTGATTATGTGCACTATCTAGTTTTAAAAGTTCTTCCTAGCAATAGATAGGAAGGATAGATAGGACTGCTTTGTTAGCAGTCTGGTGTCCAACTGAAGTTTCTGACTCTACATGTGATCGCTACTCTTCTGACAAAAAAGAAAAAAATTTAAATCTATTTTAGTTGAAAATTATTAGTTGTTATTCTGTTAATGAAAAAATGCCTTATGTGATCTGTGCCTCAGCTCTGAAATCATGATTACACTGTACCATCAAACCATCAGATGAGAGCAAGTTGTGCCCTGGGTCCTAAAATAACAGAAAATTTGGGACAAAAACCTCACAAAACAAAACAGTTAAAAAACAGGGGGTTTAATGCTCTCTCTGATAGATTTTATGACGAGCAGCTGCGTGGCTCGTCCCTGACAGCACAGCCCACAACCTGGACAAACTGCCCACAGACAAGTGGCGAAAAAATATTTCCCTGTGGTTTTTAATAGAGAAAGTTTGATACAAAATCATGACCACCTGGAGCTAAGGATGCAAATGACCGCAGCTTGGGCTCATGTGCACCGGAACTTCGAGCGCTACTCACTTCGTACATGATGGTGTTCAGGTTCTGCTGACCAGAGCTCTGCTTGCTTTTCCCACTCTCTTTGCGCTGCTGCTTAAGATCCGTCAGTAGCTGGAACACCTGGGGAAAAAAACGAAGTGTTTTGAACCATCTGAGAGTATTTTACCTAAAAATATCACCGCAGGAAAAGATGAATGAACAACACAAAATCCTATCAACCGAACAACAAAAACACAAGTGTGGCTTCTTCGGAGACCGCACCAGCAATCGAAACAGAAGACCTTCCGGCACCAGAATGATGAATAGCTATTAAATTGTGGGTTTTTTTTTGATTTGAGACTATTTTAAACAGATTTTCAGCACTTGTTAAAGGTTATCCAAGAGCCCCAGAGGAGAAGCTGCCAGGATGAATCCATCCTGCTGGTTCACCTTATCTCATGTCCTGAAGAGAGGTGGGTCATGTCTGCTCCCATTTAATGTGGGTGACGCCTGAAGGAAGATGTCACACAAGTTTATGGCCCTACGGGATTTACTACGACAGGTGCACCTGTAATATTAAAATGGATACATAGTCTGTCTCACAATTTTACATTATCTGCAAAAAAAAGTAAATTCTACAACTGTGACACCGCCAGGAACCAACTCAGCACAGGCTCGACGCGTAGACGTTCCTGAGATCAGGGATCCCACTGTAAATTCCAGTGGAGTTATCCCTAATAGTAAACGTTGCAGTGAGCAGCACGGTGTCATGGTACGTTAAGCCACAAAGATTAAATTAGCTCCCCGTTCCGTCACGACAGTGTAACACAGGCAGACATTCCCGAAAAGGAGGGCACGAGGCTGTCGTCACACTCAGGGAGCAGCAAGCACCAACGTGGGAGCGAGATTCGGAGGGGAAGTCCCAAGGCAAGAAACGGTTTGAATTTTGCAACTGCGCTTGGTCAAATCTGTTACAACACAAGATCTTCATTCACCATGGACAAGCAGCAGAATGCTGAGAAAACGTTACAGCTACCCATTTATGCCCACAGTAAATCACATCAGGTTGAAATTTCTTCAGGTGTTTTGCTTCAAGCTTTATGGCACATCCAGAGCCAGCAGCCACAGCACAGTAACAGACCACTTCTTTCTGTTTAACCCCTAATTTTTGACCAGCTTCATTCAAGAACCAGACCCAGGGCGTTATAAACTAGCAAGTCCACAGAGACAAAATGCAAACATTTCTAGGCAGTGAGAAATAAGAACATTACTAGCTGTGAATCCTGCATCTCTTATGAAAAAGGAACAACCACCGATAGTCAGTCCTCACCTGAAAGCCAAAACCAAAGCTATGAATTTTTACCTAATGAATATAGCCCTGAGAGTGAGGCAAAATGACAGCTCCAAATTCGCAGAAGACACGTGGGCATACGACATGCCAGTCCGAATACACCTCAAACGGCTCCATCTGTGCAAAATACTCCCTTGATAAAGGGAACGTTAGCTATACCAGTCAAAGTGCAACTGGGAAGAGGAGCAAACAAAGAGATCGGCAGTTTTAGGGGAATCAAGACTCTGAAGAGCAGGAAAAGCTCATGCCCCAAAAGCCTACAGCTGCAGACACTGCAAATCCCTTCCTGACGAGGATCAAAGCGCTGCAGGCGTGACAGCTGCTGCGAAAGGGAAACGAGGAGCACACGTTCTCGTCAGCAGCTTCGTTTTCCACCTCCCGCCCTCTTCCAACACGGTAGGTCCACCGACATAAAGACGCAGCTGAAGCAAGTTCTGACTGAGGAGCGTGAGGGCTGGATTCTGCAGTTCTCCTGTTCCGGACCAGACCTGCGGGACACCTATGGATTCCACGTCAGGTGGCTGGCAGCACCACCCGACCCTCCACAGGCCATATTCCCGATTCCAACAATGCCCCAGCAAAGGAAGAAGCAAAGAGCAGAGATGGTTTTGAACAAATAACCTCTGAAACAGCTGCTCTTGTCTGCAGTAGCACGTGTTTTGCACAGACGCTCAGCACTAGTATGGCTGACACAGCATCCTCTCTCGGCAAGGCAGTTGGCCCCGAGCACCTCATCAAAGCTCTTCCAGCGGCCACCGGGTGGTTCTGCTCTTCGCAGACGCAGCTCAAGACAAAACATTTCAAGCCTTAGTTCCGAGTAAGATGAAACAACTGTGCAACTTTCAAGCTTTACCAAGAAAACACTAGGAACAGAGCACTCGCATTCTTAAACCCATTCAAAAAATCACATTCACAAGGAAAGCACGGAAAGTGTTCCGTTACCTGGCTGAAGGTGAACCAACAGGAACACTGCATTTCTTTCGACCTCACTAAGACAAAACCTTTACGTAGCGGGGAGGAAAACGATTCAGAACTTTTCTACACTAGAAAACACAAATTTTTTTATTCGTGTACAAACATTCATCGTCTGTTACAACAGGGCACTGCGGCTCCCCAGGACCCCAGACCAAGGTATATCACTGGCTTCCAGGACTGCACAGCAACACACCTCAGATCAAACTGTCTTCCCCTTCCTATAAGCTGAACTGCTTTGGAAACACCTCAAGATCTCTGGATGCCCCATCCCTGGGAGTGTCCAAGGCCAGGCTGGATGAGGCTTGGAGCACCCTGGCCTGGGGGAAGCAGCCCCTGCCCATGGCAGGGGGTAGGACTGGGGTGGCTTTGAGGTCCCTTCAACCCAAACTATTCTATGATTCTATGATCTTCCAAAAAATACCTTCAAGCATCCAGAGGTGTAGGACTGCGTTTCCAGCAGCACTGGCTTTAATAAAACTATGCATTAATTAGTTATAGGTCCTCGGGTGGTGCTGCACATCACAAGGTTAAATACAAAATGCTGATTCCAGCAACAGCCACCCGTGAAAAAGGTTTGAATTTCTCTGTGAGAATTTTTACTTGCAATATTAAAGAGACTCCAGCCATAAGTGTGTCACACACTCGGTCGTTCATTGGCACATCATAAGACAAACTTCAAAACCGGCTGTTTGGGACGCTGCTGCCCAGTTACAGAGGTGTCCAGTCTCCTGATGTCATGCAAAGCCCTGGTGACTCCCGCACGCTGGCCCAGATACACAAATGTTTAAAGATGCTGAAAATCAAATCCTAAAGAAGAAAGGGCTATACTCAAGAGGATTCAGCAAACCAAACAAGCACCAGTGTAAATGCAACGGGGCTGAGGTAGAAGTTACTAACCTTGTGAAGATCTGCTCCTCCTCTGCTTCAAAAGATATTTATACCTGGTGTTATTTAGGACCAAATTTAGGACCAAGCAAATAATATGGTACTAGTGAAAACTAGTTTTTTCCAGAAAGCAGGTTTTCTTTAAAAAGCTTTTTTCTTGCTAAGGAATGCAACAGAGCAGGTGGAAATCACATATAGGTCTCGCTGACTGTCGCTGGCAACTCCCCAAGGAGCACGCAAGGGACTGACCGAGCTTTAAACCGTCAGTTTAAAAGTCAGGACGCAGATAAACTCACCTCAAAGTTACTCAGCAACGCGGCATTTGCGTCCTTCCTAAAAGGGAAAATCAAAATGATTAATTTGTGTTCCAAATGACACTGAGACTTGTCTTGGCTGAGCTACAGACTGCAAGAACAGACACTACTGTCACAAGGTTGGTTTCTGCAAAAAAATCCTCAGGAAATCTATTTCTCATGATTCTCCAATTACCAAGCTGCTGCCACCTCTGGAAAGTATTTTTCCACATTGTGAGTAGAATCATTACATAAACATACAGTGCATTTTGCACAGTTTGCCCCACAAATCATAACACACACGACATCACCTTTTTACTCAGCCACATACTTACTCACTCACCCAATTTTATGCACTAATGCCAAATTGCCTGGCTTCTTTCTTACAAGAAAAGGCCTCCAGTTGGTTTAGATAAAGACTGACAGGAAGAACTGTTGAGATTACACACACTTGTTTATTAGCCAAGAGCACGGAAAGAGAAAACACAACGGCCATTTGTGTGTAGCGTGCCCGTGCACAGCTACAGACGTGGCGCTGCGTTTGCACACACTGCGCTGAGCGAAGGAACAACCTTGCTGCATTTCCACTTCATTTATTCTTTGAATCTTTCTGTGGCTACTCCTTTATTAGCAGTGCAAGGCTGACAGCTCCCGATTTTCCATCAGCCAAACACTTCCCCACCGATTCTGCCCCAGTTAAGCACGAGTCGTTACTCACCACTGGCAGGCTGACTGCACTCTTTGAGTCAAGCCGTAATTAGACTGATCACACCTCTGCTACTGCCAAATACTGTAATTTTGTATTTTTCTAATTTAAAAGAAGGGAAAAAAACCTGATGCAGAACATCCTATATTCCCCGGACAACACATTCTGCTGAGCAGTCAGCAGCCACAACAACAGAAAGTTTCCATACAAAAGGAAAAAAGGCCTTTCCCAGGTCTGCGCGGCAGCTTACAAAAAAGGTACACTGTATTGTTAAGCACCGCCAACTCTGAATAGAACTGTCACGCTCATCACTTTCAAACCAGTTAAATGCGTCCACAAACTTCCACAGGTTCTATCATTGTTTTTAAATGAAAAGGACCTTCTAAAATACGCTGAGATGAACTTCAACTTCCATTTCGCTGAGTCGAGTGAAACTTCAGCAAGTGAGCTCACCCATGCATTAGTCCGGATTCCTGTTTTCCAAACCCTATAGTGCGTGGTGTTGGCTAAATGCAATTCTTCAGAATGTCTGCATTCAGGCTACCGCCACAGAAATCCCGACGGATCAAAGACATTTGTTAGGAACAGCAGCACTACGGAAGAACTACGTCGGGAATTACCCTGTTAAAGAAGTGGAGGGGTCATATAGAGTGAATAAGTTACTGTGTCAATGAGCCTGCGAAACCCATCGACAGTTAAATGACTGGGGACAATCGCTTCCTTTTCATCCTAAAACACTGACATTCAGAAAAAAACTTCTTGCCCTTCTAATAGTGGACAGCAAATGAGCCACTCTCAAACCTTCAATGACTTTTGCTGTGTTGAAATAGCAGAATTAGAAACTGATAAACACGACCAGTTTCAGAAACTTTTGCAGAACTTACGAAGCAGAAAAACAATTTTCTTCCCATGAACCAACTGTCAGTTCTACATTCAGAGAACTGGAAGTTGTAAATAAATTCTGACGTACATTTTTAAATGGCCAACTAAACAGTATTCTTATTTTTTACAACGTTGTGGCTTAAACAAAAAGAAAAGAAATCTCACGTTATCAGCAAGTGTATAAACACTTTTCAGAACCTTTAATAAGGTAATATTTATGCAAATTTTTGTTCAAACCAAAACATTATTGAGGTCTTCTGCATATCATATAAAAAAGTATCTCAGTATATGGTATTACACCTCTAAAAATATCACTGACACTTCATGGGTTTAAATCTACTGCTTAAAACAGGTTGTACATGTAAACCAAAATGTTTTCTGGAGGGTTCTTTTCTCTAGCAACGGAAACTTTTGACACAGCGAGAACCTGGGAGAGGTTTTCCCAGCTGGAGAGCTTCCCTCTACGAACTGTCAGGCAGAAGACCAAAGACTAGGAAGATTAAATTCCAACAGCAATTCAAGTGGAAAATGGACTAAGTTGTTCCATTCCAACGCACGGGACGTTCACCCACAGCTCAGGACCCCAGGCCACCTCCCTTGATGCATCTTCTATCGGCACTAACAGAGGTAGCACCAGGAAAGTAAGCTGGGTGACTCGAGGGAGTGAACAACAAGCGGATGTACAGGCAGCATCAGAGACAGCATCAACGGCATCGTTCACAGCAGGGCAAATCCTGTCGTTCCTCACCTGCAACGGCAACTTTCAGCCTGCGGATGTGTTTCACAGCGTTTTTCAGTACGGAACAAGAGCAGGTCCTTTCCCTGCACGCTGACACTCGCGTTAAGGCTAACGCGACACAAACCCGTCTTTCAGCGGATGTTTCTTATTTGTTATCTACCTTTCACTTTGGTGTACAGCAGATTTAGTTAAAATTGTACAGAAGATCTAACGACAATGGATTACATTGGATATCCATGGTTATCCATGGATAACACCAGTTCCAACAGCTCAGCTGACTGGTGGCTGCTGGCACTCATCCCGCGGGACTCGCGCCCTGCGCGCACCCACCCACAGAAACCTGCGCTGCGTACGCGTATACGGCCCCGCAGCGGGCTCTTCGGAACTCACGCAAATCAGTTTCTAAGCTTCAAATAGGTCAAATCCTACTGTCCCGTGCCCAGGAGATGCTAAAAAGACAGCAACCCTGTGGTGCTGTCAGCCCAGGAAGGCAGCGAAACTTGCTGCCTGGGACGGCCACCCAGGGCTGCGGGAGTAACGGCCCCACGTGCCAGCGGGCCACAGCTTCGACTCGCCTCGTGTTTGCGACTGCTGGCAAGGGGTTTTCTCCTTCCCCAGCACACACAGCTCCTGCCACCGGCTGTCTGCCTGCAGCTCACAGGAACAGCTCTTCCCGGAGAGCGGGAAAGGGAGCGCGAGGAGACGGGCAGGGGAGACCTGGCCACAGCGCCTCTTGCCTTTCGCGCGCCGCGCCCCCCACCAGCCGCTGCAGCACGACTTTTAGAGGAGACGAAAAAAATCAAGATTCCCACCAGAACGCCTGAAAACACTGCTGGTTATAGGGGCGTCAAAGGCCCAATACCCCCC